AGATGTGTATAAGAGACAATAGCGTAATAGCACCCTTACACTAAACAGTAATGGCGATCGCTAGACATACAGGGTTGGAGAAACTGTCCAAAATAATTAAAATTTTTAGCGGATGCCATCGGGTTCAGAGACGAAGCCCTGGTGTGGGGAGAGGGAGGGACAGGAAATTCTTCCTGGCTAAATTATGGACCATTTTAAAATGTTCGAGACGTTTTATAACTTTATACCATTAAAAAAATAAAACGACCAGGGAACCAACGCAGAACCAACCATGCCGACACCAACACCCCGCCCCGCCCCACCCCACACTTTTATCTCGTATATAACATCGCATTGTCACGGCTGCGTTTGGCCTATCATGTCGTGCTATAATGGAACGCAAATGTGGTTTTTCAATATTTAACCTGCTCTGGGTGAATAATTGAATGCAATTTAACACCGCATTTAAAAACAATGCATCCATTCGTTCGTTTCATAATTATTTTCTTTTTATTACAATTTCAGGGTGTTCAATACCAAGACTAGCTGGCCATCAGGCGTCGTCGAGCGATGGGAATGCCGCTTTGTCGGTTACGATATAGGGGATTAATCACACTGTTTAGCCTTATGACCATCTATATATATTACTGCGTAATCCAGCTAACAATTGAGGCGTATGACGAAGACCCGTACTATCAAGTGAGGAAAAATAATGTGCGGAACTTACGGACATCATCAGTAGCTTTTAATCAATCGAAGGTGCACAATTCAACAAATGATGTGAATTTGACTACAGTTGAAAATATAGCACACCAAGTAATTAACTGCACTCAATGTGAGCATAAACAAGAATTTTCATGTAGAAATATTTCTGATGTTAGGATAATTTCAAGTCTTGGTCATGGCACAACAAAAGAGGTATTTCGCGGGAAGTACGATGGACGAGAAATGGCGGTCAAAATGGTGACTTCTAAAGTTTTGGACGTTAAAAAATGTCTGGAGAGGAAAATGTTTTGGAAACAAGAAGAGTGTTACATATTAGCAAATTACAAGATTCTTAAGGAGATTTTATTTGTAAGGCAGTTACAGCACCCAAATATTCTACAGGTATGTCACTCTCGCCAGGTCATCTATTGCGAGCTTCACACAACAGTTACGCGATTGTGACATACATGCGTTGGCTTGGTGTGGGCGTATTTATATATCTGTTATGGTCTGACTGCCCAACGGCTCTATCCGACGGGTGGGGGGGGGGTTGAACTGTCCGGTGGGGGACTTAAGCTCCCTTGTCCCCCCACTGGCGCCGCCACTGCAAATCAATTAAACTTATCTATCTTACATTTAGAAAAGTATAGGCCTATCTCACTCAAACCAATTCATCGTTATATTTTACTCTTCCAGCCGATAGGTTATTGTGTTCGAAATGAGATAACCTCAGGTCGAGTTGTGGACCATGGTGTCATCTCCGTTACAGAGCTAGGAAAAGCATTTAATTTAAACAAGTACAACAGACTACCTTGGGAACAGAAAATGAAGGTAACGATATACACAATCTATATAATTTCATTATTTTTAAAATTAAATAAATATTCTAAACAATTTTAAATGCTAATGGCCAAATAATACAAGCTACGGTATTCTAACGCTCGCAAAATAAATATAAATACTTGACATAATCACCGACATACAGTACATATCTTTCTTCTGTACAGTATATTAACGTTTTAAACTACGATTTTAGCACTTTCTAGGACCTAGGATTTTTCATTTATATGAGTTTAAAAGGTTATCACAGTCTTCACAACCCATACTAGTCCGATTAATGCTTGCAGATTCACAACCTGGTCTCTTTTCCATCGTTTGTCCACCAGTGACGATGAGTCATTGGGATGTCCAGTGACGACGAGTCATGGGGCCCAGGGGCGAGAAAAAGTTGGGGCCCCCTTGTATATTAGCGAAAGTCTTTTCGCTCACGAAGTGACCTGGGTGGCTAATATCCCTAGAGATAACATTGTTAAGGCTGAAAAAAAAGACTATCTTATTATTAGACAATGTCAACTATTATTTTGCACACACATTTTTAAATATTTGCGTGCAATGTACATTTGGTCTATGCATATAAATCGTCATTTATTGCGTAGGCCTACGTGCATTCCATTAGCGTGCATAAGTTCATGCTTAATCATGATTTGATCTAAGTTCCAATGGAGCTTTTGCCAATAGGCCTATATAAGCATTATCAAACAATTATTCAATCAATTGATTGAATGCATCATGCAATTAAATGCACTTTGTACATATTGTCAGGCCTTAAATCGATTAAATAAGCCTTTGGAACCACTAATTTGTCAACATTTTCGGACTATAGTATACTTTCGAAACATTTTAAGCGACGTTCGACCACGCCCATTTTGCTTTCGTCGTGGATATTTTCCCCTTCTCCGGTGGAATCGCCCCCCCCCCCGGATACCTTAGACCCCCCTGTCGGGCAAATCATGGCGCCACCCCTGCATCAGAGCTAATCCAGGTAGCACGGGGGCTACCCCAACCCCAGAAAGAAAGAGAGAATAGAAGAACTAGTCCATAAAGAGGGAAGTGCGCTACCGTAGGCCTACTTAAAAACAAGCGCATCTTCGATTTAAATTTCATGCAGTGACTACTGTCTCTTATACACATCTAGATGTGTATAAGGCCAATAGGCCTATATAAGCATTATCAAACAATTATTCAATCAATTGATTGAATGCATCATGCAATTAAATGCACTTTGTACATATTGTCAGGCCCTAAAATCGATTAAATAAGCCTTTGGAACCACTAATTTGTCAACATTTTCGGACTATAGTATACTTTCGAAACATTTTAAGCGACGTTCGACCACGCCCATTTTGCTTTCGTCGTGGATATTTTCCCCTTCTCCGGTGGAATCGCCCCCCCCCCCGGATACCTTAGACCCCCCTGTCGGGCAAATCATGGCGCCACCCCTGCATCAGAGCTAATCCAGGTAGCACGGGGGCTACCCCAACCCCAGAAAGAAAGAGAGAATAGAAGAACTAGTCCATAAAGAGGGAAGTGCGCTACCGTAGGCCTACTTAAAAACAAGCGCATCTTCGATTTAAATTTCATGCAGTGACTATTAACACTATATAAATTTACTTTGCCTATTGTAGGTCACACCTTATTGATCACTTTTCCTTCGGGTCGTCAAACTATTATAGTAGTTAGGCTTAAATATATCAACATAAAGACGGTTAAGTAACCAAATTGATTGATCTTTTGAAGTGCCACTTCGATACCAGGAATTAATTTTCTCTGAAACACGATACTATGATAATGTATGAGGTAGTTGGATTTATATACAAGGTATCTAAATAAGGCAAATCTAAATCAAATGACCATCGTTAAGCATTTATGGTCAAATCTATAATGTGTAACAAAAAATTTTATCATCAAAATCCGAAGTTTTATTGATATATTTTAACACGTTATGTATAATGCGTTTACATGTAGGCATATAGGCCTATTAATAATAGGCATACAGGTAATAATGTATTTGATTCTTTATATTTATTGATGTTTTAGGAAAATTAATAGAAAATGTACCCATATTGTAAAACATTATTTTTCATTATTTTTTATAAGAACACTGAGGCTGGAATTGCCTAAAAATTAAGAACAATATAAGAACAAATTGAGGCTAAGGTAAAATGTCTAATGAGATTTTTATATTAAAAAATTAAAAAAAACCCCAAAAAACTATATCTACTACCTTGTGTGCAGTAGGTATGTAATACCGGTACCCTCAATGCAGGACAGTGGTGTCCAACCTGTCATTTTGGGTCATTTTTACCGGGTCATTTTTTTCTGTGGCCATATTTTCAGGGGCCCTTTTTTCAGGAACCATTTTCCGGGGCCACTTTTTACCTAAATTCCAGTACAGTGTATACTGCTGTACAATAATAATTTTCTATGTTTGAAAAGTGTGTATTTAAGGACAAAATCAGAACATTTTGAGCCTGAAATTCAGTGGTGGTGCCAGAGGGGGCCTGGGGGTCTTGCCTCCCCCCCCCCCCCGTCGGGGAAGACGATAAATTTTTTTCGGGGAACAAACAAATAATAAAATATATATACAAATAGTAAAATATTTACATGTAATATTCGTTTAGCCACCATATTGTTTGTGTTAACTTTTCATCACAACAACAATAATAACAATAACAATAGAATTTCACTTTCAAGAATGAGGATTTGATAATAAATTAGATGGTTACATTTCATACTCTTTGTTTCTTGTTTTATTCAAAATGTTTTGGTTTTGGAAGCTGATTTCAACATTGAAAGCATAGCCTACATGACGTCATATTATAGTAACTCGATGCCTATCAAATAAGTAATTAAAATTCGAAATAATTCATCAAATATCCGTGGCTTCCAGGGGGCTTTAATATGTAGACCTATTTGTATACAAGTTTTAAAACATGGTTAAGTATGAATGTACAGTATTTTAAAATAATAATATTAATTATTTTATTGAGATGATAAGCCCTTAATTTAATTTGCTTTCAATCAAACTGTTTACAATTAAAAACTAATAAAATAATGTTAAATTGACTAAAAAACTAAAGTAGGCCTATTTCAGGAAAGTAAGTGAACTATCAACAAATCATTGTAGGGTAATTTGCTCTATTTTGTTCTAGAAACTTGTAAAATAATTAAATTGAATTGAAACTATATTTTTATGTTCCTTTTTATTTCCACCATAGACCACAATCGAACTGCTGGATTTACTAGACTATTTCGCGCATTCTCCGATCGGCTCGCTGATCATGACCGATATAAATACGTCACAGTTTCTCGTCGTCGGGGACAAGGTTAAGCTAGGAGATATGGACGACGTCTCCAGCGAGGAAGGGAAATGTGAAACTAGTAGGGATTGTTATCTGGACAACAGAAACTATGGTACGCACGTTCTAATGTTCACGACTTTGTTTAAGACAATAGGGCCATGCAAATGAACACACACACATTGCAACAGCTTTTTTTCTTGCTGATGTAATGCCCTACAGACTGTAATTAGATTGTGACCTTCCACTCCCACCCCCACAAAACCACCCGTAGGGGAGAAAAGCAATTATAGGTCTGTGTGTTCGTATAGACCTATTAGTGGACTCTAAAATCTATTAAATACACCGCAAAATTGTTATAGTTTATGGGGATTCGGCCCATTTCCGAAGGGGCCATCACCCCAGATCATCCTCACCCCTCCCCTCCCCCCAGCGGGACCCATAGCCACAAGCTCATCGCTTTAAATTGACTGAAGCATAGATCAGTATTGCCACCATTTGGAATAAAAAAGGGCATAAAACCCCACAAAACCGCAAAATTATTATAGTTTTTAGGGGCATCGGCCCCTGGACCACTTCCGAAAGGGACATTCCCCCCCCCCCCGGCAAATCCTGGCGGATTATTTAAAATTGACTGAAGCATTCTAACGAGCTCTGCATTCGTCCAAAATTAGGAAAAAAATTGCATAAAAACCTCAAAAACATGATTTTATTATTTTTAATCAATTAAAATTTGATACAGTAATTAGAGAATCGAGACCCCTAATGCTACTGCACGGAGGCCGTTTGTACCACCTCAGTCCCACCATGGTTGGGGCTCGAAGGTAAGAAAATTTATGATTATGGCGCCTAGATCTAAGGCCGGAAATGGCACCCTCAGACTTACAATTTAAATATAATTTTTTTCTTTTCTCATTTTTGTTTTAATTTAGAAAAAAATAGAGTTGGGGGCCGGGCCGGATGCCCCTGCCGTTTGAATCAGCGACTGTTTAATTGCGGCGGCTATGCGCTTAATGTTAGTTCGTGAGACCAATTGCAACATAGGCCACACGCATCCATCTACAACTGTATTACGAATCAACAGTTAAAATCAATACAACACATTGTAACCAATTCATTCTCTAGTGTTAACTATGGATTTTAACCATCAGAAATTATTCTCACATTAGTTAACATGACAACAAAACATATTGCCACGTGAATTTTTTAAAGAGATCCAACTGTTTAAGTGATGAAAGTACGCTTGCCGCGACAAATCGTTCAATACATTATCACGTTTGGCAGTCTGTTGTTTAGTTTCAATAGGTTTGGCAGTCGTTTTTTTAAATTTTTTTTATAGTATTTCGTTGCTAAGTTATTATCATTATGAGAACCAGACCATCGGCTGGCTGTTCATATTAAATAAGTAAGAACCAAGATGGCTTTTTGAATTATTGCTATCGTATACAGTAATTATAGGTCTGAAAAAAATAATCAATACGCGCTTGTTTTTAAAGTCCTTCTCAGCATTCCTGTTTTAATTTGTTTTGTGTTTTTCGTTTTACAAATGGCTTAATTTATTATCCTAACATAAAAAAACATTTTTTAAATGTGGTCATGTAGAATTATCAAGCAAATAGGCCTATATAAAACAATATCTACTGATTGGAAACAATTATTAACCTAATGGTTATTATAGGCTCCAAGTCTAAATTCATTATTCAATGATTTATATTATTATTACAAAATCCTTTAATATTTATTTGATTACAGTTATGCGTCTGTTAATTGGCGAGATAATAATTCTCTTTAGAATTTCCAATAAAATAATCAACTACATTAATATTAATGATATAGTAGTAGTAGCAGTAGTAGCAACAGCGGTAGCAGCAGTGGCAATAGTAGGTGGTAAATAAGAATACGGGTACTAATAATAATCCGGGCATAGTCAACAACGCCGTGTACATTGGGACAAAGCCGAACTAATAGCCACTGTACAATCGTGGCATTCCAGAAGGACCAGAGAAGCCATAGAAATCCACAAACACAATAATACTGTTCATCAAGATATTGGATTTGTCATTAGCGATATTTGGCTGCCCATGTTTATCGGACCTAGCTAAGCAACCCCACCATTTTCCCGCCTTACAGGAACTTTGCCTTTGGTTTTTGGTCGTTCCCAACCCTTTTCCCGCCCTACTGGAACTATGCGTTTGTTTTTGGTCGTTCTCATCCCCTTTCCCGCCCTACTGGAACTATGCCTTTGTTTTGGTCGTTCCCACCCTTTTCCCGCCACTGGAACCATGCCTTTGTTTGGGCGTTCCACCCTTTGCCTCAGTGAACAATGGCTTTTGTTTTAGCCTTTCACTAGCAGTCTTCTCATTGGTCAGTTTATCCATCCAATCACCTACATATAAGTTTTTTGTGTACAAAGGGGGGAAGCCGCGGCTCCCCACCCTCCCCCCGGATACGTCCCTAAGGACAGATGTTAGTTCGATATCTTGTGCTACTGTAGTTGTGTAATAATTCAAATGTCTTAAATAAGCGGTTAAATGATACATGCAATTGATATTTATGATATTGATACATAGGCACACAGTACTAAAGGTTAAAAATATTTAATGTTTGAGTAATAATAAACAAAGGATATGAAGGATGTAAAGTGGTCAAATGACAAATACAGTATTTCTGAATGCATTTTTCTGAAGTGTGTCCAAAATGGGTAAAAAGTTAGAGTATTCACTTGTTTCTGTCTATAATTTTACAGGTATTCAGTGTGTGGTGAACATATGTAGAGGGATTAATTCCAAATTCAACTTACATTATTTTAACAAGAAGATATTTAGCAAAATTCTACTAACAGCACCATCGACATCGCTGAAGGATGAAACCACTAGCGCGTTGAATTATATAAAACATCCGAATTCAACGGCCGTCCAGATCAAACAGTCCCTTCAACGAATCTTGCTAAAAGCAACCAATCCATGACAGTACAAGCAAACGCTACAGAATAACGCAGGTTTAATTTCGGTTGTACACTGATTTCTATTGGAACTAGTGACCTACTCAGCTGGTTGGCGTTATTCCGGCGGCCTATTGGGGGTAAAAAAACTCCTAGAAACTAAGCGATCAAGAAGGAGCCATGCAGAATAATACGAAACTTTAAAAGAAATCTAAAGTAAGAACATGAATAACAGCAATAGGAATAAAGGGATTAGGCTCTATGATGTATATTTGGTTCATTAATAAATCAGCCACATTGGAGTCAATAAGAAAAGTAGGCCTACTGTTGGCAATTGGTCTAACCATGGTCAAGGTGGTTAGACTTGCTATACTTGGAATAAAGTATTGTGTAGTGATGGTCCGTGGTGATTTAACACACTACTAACAGTGCCAATGTTTTCTGGTACTTACTTGGGCATTGTGTAATTTAATACAGTACTAACTCAGAGTGAAACATTCCAATATAGGCCTATGTATTCTTAATAACTAATTTAATTTATAATAATTATTTATGCCTTTTTTATTATATTTTTTTAAACAAATAATTATTAATTTGTGAGTTTTATAGCCAAGCTTTTAATGACCTTATAAAAGCATAGAATTTCGTATGTGGTTAGAATAGTGTAAAATCTATTGTTAAATATGACTCATACGTCACACCTTTCCAGAATCCCACTTTTCATTTCAGATTCTTGAGAATAGAAAAACCATAATGTATTGTTTTTTTTTTTATAGGTTTCTAAATTATATATTCAAAATACAATAAGTTATTTTTGCTATTTTGCGATCAGGGATTACAAATACAAAGAACAAAATGATACGCAGGGCTAAAGTATGGGTGGAGTCAGGGCCGTATCTAGGATTGTCATTATTGGTGTGAGTGGGTGGGGGATGTGGGTGAATGGAACAACTGTGTTATAATACATACGGTACTATTCCTGGAGGGATCAAGGGGCGGAACCGGTTGGATCGCAGTTCGATTTATCATTAATTTCAATGCGATAGTTTGCTGGTTAAGGCTAATATTTAAGGGATTCCATTTAAATATGTATTGAATAAGAAATGTTATATTTAGAACATTCTTGACTGTCTTAAAAATATAGACAGACCGATTCCTCCAGAGTATGTACCGTATACAAAATTATCAGACACGCTGCTATATTCCAGACAGAACACAGACTATACCTAGGTAGCAAGCAAACATGGACCTCATATGGGAAATGCATGGGCCAAAATGTGGGCCCTACAGTTTGGCCACGGGAATGAGCTGCCTGTGCACCCTAAATCCATAAGGGTCCCATAAAGTTTGGGCCACATGCAAATGTGGGCCATTTAAAGGATATATTTAGGTCCCTTAAGGTTTGAACTATGGTTTCATTTGGGACCCGTATGGGTTTGTCCAATTTAATTCATGGGCCAATTGTGGGCTCTATCTGAGTTTTTAAGGGGTTGAATCGGGGTTAAAATGTAAGGGGACCCTATAAATTGGCCCATATGGGAAAGAGCTGCCTGTGCACCCTAAATCCATATAGGTCCCATAAAGTTAGCCCAAATTAATTTATGGGCCCTTTAAAGAATATATTTGGGCCCCTTAGATTTGCATTATAGTTTCATTTGGGACCCATATGGGATTTACTAAATTAATTCATGGGTCATTATTGGCTATATCTGGGTTTCTTGAGGATTGAAATGTAAGGGGCCACTTATATATAAATTGGCCCATACAGGAAAGAGCTGCCTGTGAACCCAAAATCCATAAGAGTCTTATAAAATTCATGGGCCCGTTAAGGATAATATTTGGGCCCCTTAAGTTTGCATTACGGTTTTAATTGAGACCCATGTGGGTTTTGTCCAAAATAATTGACTCCTGTAGACTTACAAAATACACTGAGTTTAAGATATACAAACCATAATTTCTTTAGTTAAAAAAAAAAAAACAAAACATAGCGGTACTTTATGGGGTATGGACTTGCATACCCCTTCGCATATCATTTGGCTTAGTCTTTACTTTTACGCTTACAGTCCTGTTTATATCAGCAGTTGTGTCATACTTATAAGCCTATTATATTATAGCATCACTAGAGATTATAATACACAGAACCATCGTTTGCATCAGGCGTGCATATAAACCAACTTTATTAGTGTATTGAAGCAGCATCTCTCCATAACTATGCATTTTCTTGTCCGATGAAAAGGTAAATGAAGAATCTTACTAATATTTAAGATAGTATATGAATTCTGCAATTGAACAAATCAAGTTTGAAATATTGAATCACAATGGCTTGTTGGTATTAACTTTTTTCGGAGTTCCACAACACCCTAGGGCCTATAGGCCTAAGTAGGATCTGCTATTTTACTACTGCAGGACACCTACTGAAAGAAATGTCACATCGCAATGACGTTATATTAAGGAAAACTCAGATTAAAATCTAAAAGAAAATCATGGATCACAAAATCCATCTAACCTGCCTGAAAAATGGATTTCCTTTTCATTATTATTTTTTATTATTATGTAACAAAAATGTTTTGTTTGACAGCTGTGACAGTTCGTCTGCTGCGCTCGTCTGCTCCTCCCGGGATGAAAGAAGGTGCTCAGCCAGGCACTCGAAAAATACTCTACCTTACAAACAAGGTTGATTCATCTAATAATATTAACGTTTTTATTGAATATAGTACCTACAACAATCTCTTTTAAAGAAACACATATGTAATAACAATCATAATTTATATATATATATATATATATATATATATATATATATAAAAAAAAAATATCTCAATCTTCCTATTAATTTATAATAGGCTTATCCAATTCAGGACAAAGAAGTCCTAACTAAACCTAGGGCCTAGGCCTATTTCCAGTGGCGGATTTAGGGGGTGATGACGTAAGGGGCGTACCCCCCCCATGTTTTTTTCCTAAAAAAAAAAAAAAGAAAGAAAAAAGAAACAGAAAAAATTACACCCACAGTGTTTAAGTCTACTTTTCCTACTAAAAACACCCTAGGAGAGTGCTATTCATAAATCCACTTGGTGAGAAATAGAACACTTGTACAATGTTAATATACAGTAGCGGAATTTGTTGTTTGACGACTTTTTTTTAACGGATTTTAGATATTAGTTTTCCTTTTTGCTGATGTTTATGCTCGATGTTGCTGAGAAACTTCATCATGTTTTCTAGAAGTGAAATCTCTTTTGAAATGGTGTACATTTTTATGGGCCTTTGCATGTTGTCAAAGATTATGTTCGAGATGTTCGTGGAAGAGGCACTAAAACCCACAGCTGTGAATGAATTATTATTAATTTAATGACACATTTCATAGTTATGAAAGGTTCCCTGTATATTAAATTTTCTTTTAAAAGACATACACCTATTTTTTTTTATTTGTTACTGAAAACTGCCATGCTAGATAGTCAAAATCGACTCAATACAACCTCATATTCCTCAAAAATGTGCTGGGCTGGACCCCCACCAGGGGATCTGCCCCTGGACCCCTCCGGGGGTCCTAGGTGCCCCTCCCCACCCCCGGGCCCTGTCTCTTATACACATCTTAAGGGGACCCTATAAATTGGCCCCCCTTTCTGGCCGGCTGGATCCGCCCCTGTCCTTTGCAGCGCTGCGGCCACTGAGATACAACACTGTATTCGACGCACGCTAAACAGTGTATCATGCGTCGAAATCCTACACTGGCGCCACCACTGTTTCAAAAGTCAAGATTCTATAAGTGACGTAACTGAGGTCGACTTATAAGCAAGCATTATTGTTCCATAAGATTTGTGCAGCGCACATTCATTTCAAAATCTATTAGATTCAATCCCGGGATTCAATCTTACAATGTTGAAGAATTCCCCGCTTTGGAGTTTCAAGTCATAGGTGTGATTCAGGACTACCAATTCCATTCCAAATCATCATTAATCACCCAGGAGACCCATCTCCTGGGTGAAACGAACGTGTAGCCTACAGTAAGTGCCTTCTCTATGCAAGTGCCAACATTTAAATGTTCGTCGCAACGTCTCGGCTTCCATTTCTTTATTCTAGAAAACTACAAAAACAACGAATTTCTTCTTGGTTGTAATGATCAAAGTAGGCCTAATTATTTTAAATTTTACATTTAGCGTAAAGAATCCATATTCATATAAGCAGTGATCTATAAAAATGATACCCATCCGTATCTTTATCGGATTGATTTCGCACTCTATGTTATGCCGATACAACA